CAAATAAAGGATATTTTTCTTTTTCCTTCTGTTTTTTTTTTTTGTTTTGTTTTTTGTTTTGAGAACGGAGTCTTGCTCTTGTCGCCCCAAACTGGGAGTGCAAATAGGCCACAAGTTCTCGGCTCACGACGACCTCTGACCTCCTAGGCGTCAAGTGGATTCTCCCTGCGGTCGAGCCTCGCGGAGTGCAGCTGATTGATAGGCACACGCCACCACACCCAGCGTAATTTCTTGTAGTTTTTAGGTAGAGATGGGTTTCACACCGTTCGGCCAGGCGTGGTCGTTTACTCCCTGACCTCATGGTAATTTACTGCCTTGGCCTCCCAAGAGGTTAGGATTACCAGGCGGTGAGCCACCCAGCCTGCCCTTGACATGTGTTCATTTAAGAGAAATCGTCCTTTATTTGAATGAACTTAAATCTTACCAATGTTTGTTTTGTAGAGTTGTGTGGAAAATTAGTTTTGCTCTTTAGGTCTGTAGCTTGCCTGGATTTGCTTTCTGTATGTTCATGATGTAGGGATCCAATCACTCTACCCCCGCCCATGGTGGTAGTTTTCCCCAGCACAATCTATAAGAATCCATCCTTTCTACTGCTTTGAGAAACAATGTGTAGTTCCCGTAAGTCCCATCACATAGGGGTTCATTCATAAAGGCTATTTACTAGGTCGTATGTTATCTGTACCAGGACCCACTCTGAGTCTTTGATTACTTAGTGACTTTGCTGCGATTGTGTCTTTAATATCGTGGGATGGAAAATTCCCACTACCCCAAAATAATATTATATTGATATGTGTGGTGTGTGTGTGTCGTGTGTGTGTGGATATATATTACTACCTTTCGCTCTTTAAGACACTTTTCTGCGCTAACCACCTCTTCTGATGTAAGTAATAATTGCACATACATAACCCGAAAGTATTAAGGTATGAAGTCAGTGTTTAATTTGTTTGTATGTTTGTTTGTTTGAGACAGAGGTCTCGCCTGGATACCCAGACGTGAGTTCAATGGCACAAGGTTCAGGGCGCAGGCAATCCTCCGCTCCCAGGTTCAAACGATTTCTTCCCTGCCTCAGCCTCTGAGTGCTTGCTCTCTCGCTCGCACCACCACGCCCTGGCTAGATTTGCATTTTTTCCAATAGAGATGGAGGTTCACGCCATCGTTGGGTCATGGCTGTCTCGAACTGTGAACCCGCCGACTCGTGATCGCCCACATCAGCCTCCAAAGGTGCTGGGATTATCGGCTGTAAACCACCACGCCCCCACCACCTGTTGCTCCGCCTCCATATATATTCCACAGTTGTGCAACAGGTCACGCAGAAGTCATGTCAGGAACATTTTCATTATCCAGAGAGCAAGCCTGTTACGCCGTTAGGCTACTGTGGTCTCCAGTCGCCTTGCTCTGTTCTCCTTATCGCCCAGGCAACGCGCCTGGAAGTCCTACCCCTCTGGCGTCCAGTAGATTTGCCTATTGGGAGCATTGTATGTATAAATGGACCATACGATTAAGATGTCGGTTGTGTCCAGGCATCGGGTGGTGCCTGTTGAATCCCTACATGTTGGAGGCTGAGGGAGGGCGTCGGGAGGGCGATCGCTAACGGGTCAGGGAGATTGTAAGAGATCAGGCCTGGACACGCCCTACCTAAGACACTCGTCTACGAAAAGTGTTAAAATGTTACGCGGGGTGCTGTGCGTGATGCAGCGGTAGTCCTGGGCGTGAGCTGTGCAAGGCGAAGGTGGGGAGGAGTCTACTGTAAGTGCAGGAGTTTGGGAGATACGAGTGGAGGCTTAGTCGACGACTAGTGCACACCAGCGGGCGACAAAAGGAGGACTGTTTCTTAGAAAAGAGAAAGAGAAAAAGGGAAAAAAGCAGAAGGCTGGCTTTTATGCTGGCCCCTTTCATGAAGCAGAGTGTGTTAAAGTTGGATATGTGAGCATGCATCAGGTATTTTGTTTTTTTGCCAGTAAGTAGTAGTTCCGATGTTTTGTCAATGGGTATAGTATACTACATTTTGTTTTGTTTTGTTTACTTTTTCTTTGAGAAATGGGATTCAACTCTTTTGCCCAGGCTGGAGTGCAGTGGCTCGATTTCAGCTCACTGCAGACCCTCCACTCCTGGTTCAAGGCAATTCTTCCGGTCTCAGTACCTCCCAGACGTAGCTGGGTGGAGGGTGAGCGCGAGACGCGCGCAGGCGCGAGGGGGGCACCAGGCTAATTTCTTGTAATTTGTTAGTAGAGACAGGGTTCACCACGTTGGCCGAGGCTGAGTCTGGACGACGCTGAACTCAATGATTCGCCCACGTTGAGCCTCCCAAATGACTGGAATTACGAGATGTGAGCCTCGTGTGCCCGCGGCCTAACCAGTGTTGTTTATCCAGGTGTGGTAACCATTTGGATGCTTACAGGTTGCAGCTATGTGGAATGGAGTGGCGTGCAGCATGCACGTGTACAAGTTTGTGTGCGACCATGGGTTCCTTCTCTGCTGAGAGTAGGACTCTGCTCGCTCACACGCGTGGCAACTCTGTTTAAGTTTTTGAGGAACGGTATCAGGACTGTTTTCTAATGTGACTGTACCATTTTTCTTCCCATCCAGCCGATGTAGTGAGGGGTTCCTTTCTCTCCACCTGCTGGTAGAGACCTTGTAGTTATTTGTCTTTTTGCATTTAACGGTATCTTAAGGAGATGAACTATCTCTTTGTTTGGTGTGAGTGCAGTTTCCTTAATACTTGCACTCGCGCTCTCGCGCTCTTGTCACATGGCGATTGCGATTTGTAGGTACGGTTTCTGGAAATGGCGTTGAAAGCCCTTGGCGGTATTCCTCACTCGCTGCTCGCGCTCTCGCCCCTTTATTGTTTTTGGATGTGTTTTTGTGGTTTTTTTGTTTTTGTTTTTTTGAGACGAGTCTGCGCCGTCTCAGGAGCTACGCGCAGTGGCGTGATGCTGCAGCTCACTGACAACCTCTGCCTCGCCCGGCTGTTGAGTGATTGCTTCGGTGCGGCCTCGAGCGCGTCCGAGAGCTGGGGAACTACAGGCAGATGCCAGCGGGCCGGCTAAGTTTGTGTAGTGTTAGGTGAGAGGGCAGGGGTTCACGGATGTTGGCGTAGGGAGTCCCCCGCTCAGAGCCTGTGATGCATGCCCCGCAGGTTCCAGAGGTGCTGGATAGCAGGATTGAGCCTGCGCCCCCGGCGGTGTCCTTTTATTTTGTTGAATTGTATAAGGATGTAGTTGTATTTTCTACATGCAGTAGGTTGTGCGTTGCAGGGTAGCGCTTTGAACATGAAGAGTTTTAAATTTTGGGGTCTGATTATCGTGATTTTTTTCTTGTTTACTTGTGCGTTTCAGGTATCTTTGTCTAAGGAAACATTTTGTAACCCGAAGGGTCGCACAAAATTTATGGCCCTCTCATTCTCCTTCGCTGCGAGAAGCTGTCGATATTAGATGCTGCGTACAGTTTTAGTCTGTTGATCATTTGAGTGGGTTTTTGTATTTGGGTGTGAAGTAAGAGTAAAATTTAATTCTTTTGCACTGTGGATATCCCGAGTAGCTAGGACTACAGGCGCCCGCCACTGCGCCCGGCTAATTTTTTTCTATTTTTAGTAGAGACGGGGTTTCACCATGGTCTCGATCTCTTGACCTTGTGATCCGCCCGCCTCGGCCTCCCGAAGTGCTGGGATTACAAGCGTGAGCCACTGCGCCCGGCCAATTTTTGCATTTTTAATAGAGATGGGGTTTCACCATGTTGGTCATGCTGATCTCGAACTCCTGACCTCGTGATCTGCCCACATCAGTCTCCCAAAGTGCTGGGATTACTGGTGTAAACCACCACGCCCGACAATGTTTTTAATATATATATCCACAGAATTGTGCAACAGTCACCCAAATCAATTTCAGAACATTTTCATTACCCCAGAAAGAAACCTGTTACCCTTTAGCTATTGTTCTCCATCCCTCCTGTTCTCCTTATCCCCAGGCAACCACTAATCTACCCTCTGTCTCCATAGATTTGCCTATTTGGGACATTTTGTATAAATGGAACCATACGATAAATGGTCTTTTGTGGGCCAGGCATGGTGGCTGCCTGTAATCCCTACATGTTGGGAGGCTGAGGAGGAGGATGCTCAAGGTCAGGAGTTAGAGATCAGC